CAGATTTTGACGATGTCATTGACCAGTTTGCCACAATGAAAACAAGAAAACATTCATTCTAAGACCATAGTATCGAATGTCATCATTTTTGTGTATTGCCGTGTTTTGTATTTAGTTGTTCTGAAAGTGAACAGTTGCATTTTAGAAATCTTTTTGATTTGAACTGATTATTTTGTGGTATTGGATTTTGTCTTGGATCATACATGTAAACAGTAACGTACCGGTCAGTAGAGTAAAGTAGAGGTAGAGCATGTATGAAAATTTAGCTCCAGCTAACCATTCAGCATAGGGTGAATCGGGGTCATTGGGGTGACATTTGAGCAGACTGCCCCGGGTGACGTTTACTCTAGCTACGCCACTGTCAGTACTAATTTCAAGTTTCTTGAGCCACTGCACCAACCTTCTGTTACTTTGACTCATAAATAATGTCTGTTTTTGTTTATCAACTTTATGCTTCAAAAAATAAAGTAAACATTTTATTCAATTATATATTCACCATTATTTGCAATGATTTATTGCCACTTATCAGGCAGTTTTTTGATACATTTTGAATAAAATTCTGATACAAAGGTTTTAATACAAAGATGCTTTCAAGAAACTCTTGAATCTGCTTTTCATTCAAGAAAATTTTCTCCATGAAAACATTTTGCAGCAATCAAAAACTTAATAAGTTGGTGCAAGGTCAGGTAAATATGACCGGTCAGGCAGGAGAGATCAACTATGTTACAAATATTTATGCTGATACTACTGTGCAAAAACTAAGGTATGTTAGTGTTATATTCCATGCTGATAGGAATATATACTTGAAAAAAAAAGGTGGATAAAATAAGTAAAGGTTTATTGTACAAAACCAGTACAATAAGAATAAAGGTAATAGTTATGCACAAGGTTGTCGCAAGTTAATCCAGTAGTGAGTGCTACTATTTGAAGGTCAATAGTTCTCGCATAAGTCTGAGTTGTACTCAACAGATTCCAGCTAGACTCTGTAGTCCATTGACTTACAGATACTTATAGATAGTGTAGTCACTTATGGGGGTGACAGGTTATTCCATTACATCAGTTAGTGTACTCTAAGTTTATTCTTAACTGCCATGTATGATTTGTAGTTTGGATGATACATAGTTTTGACAGTTGGTTCCAAAAAATGGAAATTTCTTACGAATCAACCTAATATGTATTACTTTGGCTTCACAAGATCTGTTCACTTGATGATGTGCTCTTGCAAACAAAGGCAAACAATTTGTGTTTGTTTCTCTTGCATTTATTAATATCGTTTGCTCTTATTTAATCCCAGTTATGGTTCCAATGAATAAAAGAAATGCATTCTGTGTTGTGAAGTGAAAACACCACATATTATTGATTAAAGGTAAAAGGTTAACCTGTTGAAAATCTGGACAGTTTTGTCTTGGTGAAAAGCATGTTTTAGTGTTATAACTTTGACTCTTTCACATTGTACAGTATAAAGAAAAAGAAAGAAAAACTGCTACATCTTTTTTCTGATTGTAGCTCAAGGAAATAAATGTGCATGAGAAAAACAATGAAAGATGGGGGTAGTTCAGAACTAGACAAAGTGGCTTTTAACCTTGTATATGTAAAAGTGCCTGGATAGCTATTGTTTTGAAGTCACTTTTCTTTGATTCAGCATTTTCACTTATGTGGTATTCTTCCAGTCCCAATGATGCTGGGTTAGTGATGCTCTAGATGTGAGATGGAACTATTTCACTTCATTATATCAGTGTAATCTTGACTGGCCAATTTGTTGTATTTGAATTCCTGGGTTGTACCAAGTTGCAAAGACTTTTTTACTCACATGAATTGTATCTCTAATTGACCTGTTGCTAGGAAGTACTTTCATGCGTGATTACTATTTGCAACAATTTCCATGTCTATTTCTAGAAGGACATTGTTTCAAATGTGACAATGCACAAGTCTTCTTTTTCTTGAACTTGTAAAATCCCTGTGAAAAACCAAACCACGGTAGGTGATGCTGCTGTAGTTTCAGTAACAAGTAAGTCTTAAGGAATGGGGTTATTTTGATTTGATTGATTCATTTTCTACAGCTTATCAACCCATTGTAGGTTATTTAAAGCCAGAAAATATTTTTAGATTGTGAGAATTTTTTTTTTGAAATAATAATTTAGTGATACAAGTCTTGCTAATTAATCAGTAGTTGGTGGAGAGAAGAGATGGTTTCATACATTTCCCAAGGGTGCATAAGTGAATATAATGTGCATAAGTGAATATAATTTGTGCATAAGTGAATATAATGAACCCAACTGGAATTAGAGCTTTAGCTTTCCTGTGCCTTTACTATAAATATTTTCATGGTAATTGTTCTGATGAGCTTTCCTCTTTGGTACCTGACTTTATGAATTTAAGCACAGTACTAGATTGGCAGCAAGGTCTCATCATTTTACAATTGAAATGGCTATATGTAACCATATGTTCTATGCTAACAATTTCTTCTATGACACTTCTTCCTTGTGGAACTCTCTTCTGGCCTCTTGCTTTCTAGTTAACTTTGATCTTCAAAAATTAAATGCAATGTCAATTTTTATCTTCTGTCTTCTTAATTCTTGTTCTTTTATTGTTCTCTCTCCTTAATAATGTTTTCCATTTCTCATATTCTCTCACACTCACTTGTATTTTAGTGGCTTTATTGCCTTCCTTGGGATGAAATGATTAAAAATAAAATTTTAAAAACGGAAGAGGAAATGTATCCTTGTTTTTAATTTTTTTTAATCATTTCATACTGGCAATTGTTGACAGACTGAAACTGAAAGGAAAGCAATTCAATATAGATATCATAGCCATATATGTGCCAATGTCACAAGGCATAGAAGAGGAAATAAATAAATTGAACACTTGATAATGCCAAATAACAGTGGAAATCACAAGAAATTATCAATATCATGGGAGATCTAATGCAAAAGTAGGAAAGGAATGAGGCTATGAAATAGTGTGGATAAAATAATCTATTCAGTCATATTACATTTTCCTGTAATTTTCTGTTTCTTTTTATCATTTTTATGGCACTGGTCAAATGAGTGCTAAAATGGATGAATTAAGAAATTACAGACAGTGACTCATACAGATTATGAAATTAAATCTTGAAGATCACATATGGAAGGAAAAGGGAGATCATTGTCCCTTTTGAAATGAAGCAGCTATAATTAACAAAATTCTTACAGGAAAATACATGAACTAAAGAGATTAACATACATGTTGTTATCACAAAATTAATGCCATATAGAAATCAACATGGAATATTTGTCAATGACACACACAATACACATACACACACCCAGAAACACACACACACACACACATATATATATATATATGTGTTATTTGTTTCTGAAAAGTGAAATTATAATGCATTCAAGTATCTTCATTCTTGGTTCCAATTTAAGGGAATGACTTCAAAATACTTCCTCCTCCCTAATTTATAGGCAAAAACCACACAAATGCATGCTGGGATTTCTTAGCCAATAACATAGGCCATTTCTCGGTCTCATCCGACTCAGTTCTCGTCTGTCTTGATTTGAAGCCAGAATGCTGCACCAATCTTAGTTTGTGAACTTTTGACCTTATTACTATTGCTTTGCCTTATTACTGTTAATTTGCCTTGCATATATTGTTTGCTTGCTTAATATTATTTTTTAGCCCTGTTCTTTTCTTTTTCTTCTTGTTATTGTTTATTGTAAATTTGTCAATTCTGTTTGTTGGGCATTTCTGCCAATTACATTTAACCATGGCCAATTTCTTTACATTCATAATCATTTTGTAACATATAATAATAACAGATACTAGTGGAAGGATAGAAAAACTATTTTGACTATGAATTTGTAATTAAAACTAATGCCATATAGAAGTCAGAAATGTAAAAACAAAATTAAAAGTTAGGAAGCATATTCCAGAAAAATAATAAAGCCTGTTTCCCTATAAGTATACAGTTGAATGTACATGAAAAATAATGACACTTATGGTAGAATTAAATCATATAATAATTATCAATATGTATTTATTTATATATTTCATGTCCCTTCTCTAGTAGGAATGGAGGTAAATCAATTTAAGTTAGTAAATTTATGGGTGATTACTTCCCTTAGTCATTTTAATAAACAATACAAATAAAATATTCATCTGCATTTAGACAATTTACTTCCCAAGCAAAATAAACCATTTAATTAATCAGTTCCTTTACTCCTACATTTCCTAGATTGGAGTCCTATATGTTCCAGCCTTTCATATGAAGCAGTCAGTTAGCTTTGTTTATTAAGTGATCACCTTGTTTCAACTAGGTCTTGAAATAGGCTTTGTCATCATCATCTTTGTTGTTCTGTCACTATTTTTTTTCTTCCAAGAGATATTTCCATTTCACTGTTATATAAAACACATAAAATTTTTAACATGAAAAGATATTGAGCAAAAGGCAATTTATTACTAGGAGTAATCAATGAATCTTAGATACCACTGTGTTGTGGTAAACCCTCCTACAGTAGAATGAACTCTTCCTCCACTCATAAATACTAACTGCGAGAGTTGGTTGAGAGGGAAAAAGGTAGACGCAGTGCTAACCTTCTGTTTGGATGTACACCGCTATCTACTTATTACTAACACTCTTGCTTTGTATATATCTTCAATATACTTGTTCAACCTAGCTTCATCTTCCATGTCTTTCTTTCTGGCCCCTAAACAGGCCGCAACACACTGAACATCTAAAAAGAAAAATAAAGGGAAACATATTAATTAAATGTTTCATTGTCCTCTGTTTTAGTTGTGAATTCTTTATCTCTGCTTTATTAAATCTCAATAAATTGTTTCAAGACTTTAGTTTCATTGCATCACACTAAAAGTTCCTTACAATTTCCATCATTTTTGACATCATGGTTACACTATTGCATTGTTCAATAATCATCTGATCATTTCAATTCCTTATTGTTGTCATAGAAACATATATCACAACTCTGCTCAGCATGCTTTTGCTGTGTTTTCAGGACTTCCTGCGGAGGATCATATCTATTTTACAAATAGCCAAAATTCAGAAGAAAGCAAACAAGTCAAAAAGCACCCGTTCTACCCACTTTCAGCTTTTATGGAACATCTTAATGAAAAAAGTAAGTACTGGGAATTTTTATTTTTTAAATAAATACTTTCATAATTTCTGTCTGGATTTTTGGGATGAGGGGTTATCACTATTTATGTTATTAACATGTGGACTATTGGTCATTGTGCCATTTAGACTTCATCAGGCTTATATTAATCTGGGTAATTCTGTACTGAACCATTTATTTAGTCTATGAATGTAAACTGTTCTCATTTCAATGCACATGTGTAGAGTTATCTCATCTACAACTACACACACACACACATATATATATATATATATATATATATATTATTATACCATACATATGGATGATAATGTGTATACTCCAATTTCTATTAATACAGTGGTATATACGGTATGTTGTCTTACACTTAGGATTTACTTGTGCTTCACATTGATTCACTTCTAGCTCACCACTAGCAGTTGATTACTTACTACACGCTGCTGGCAAAACTTGTATATTGTTCCTGTTATAAATGTTATTGTTCTATTCCCAACCTTCATTTTGGTTATTTTTATTCAGTAACCTTTTCCTAGGTTACAATATACACACACACACGCATATATGTCGAAGCATGTTGGAGTAGTGGATAGCAGCTCGGATTGAGGAATCAGAGAGCAGAGTTTGAATTCCAGTCGAATCCATTACAATCACTTATGTGCAAATACCCTTGGGAAAGGTGTGAATCCTCTTCTTCTCCCTCCAGCTATGGGTAAATAGCAGGACAGACTGGGATCTATAGCCTTAGATGGCAACTGGTCTAGGAGAAGGACAACTCTGAATTCCAAACCTGTGGAATGTCGTTTGGGGATCTTGTGGCACATAGTGCACCAGGTCTCTGTATTCGGCCCTTCAAAAAGTGTGGTTGGTTCTGCACAGAGCTTTCACCACTATAATCAAATCACATGTGCTGGTGTCTGGGCTGTTGGTTCCTAGGAACTGAGCTGCTTGACCCTCATATGTCAAATAGGACAGGAAAGTCCACTATATATATATATATGTGTGTGTGTCATTATTTCTCATAGTGTTAAATAACATTTAGGATAACATACACACTATATTTCTAATTAAAATTCATTATCATTGTAGTGTTATGCAGCAACAACATTTAGCATAACATGCAAACTTTATTTTTCAATAACACATATGGTAGTTTTTTCTTTGCAGTGTTAAACAACAAAAATTTAAGATGCCATAAAATCATTTTCTTATGACAATAAAAAACATAAGACACCCACATACATAATTAAAATCCTACAAAATTACTATGATCATCACCAACTGATACAAAAACATCGTCATTTACAGTTTCATCAAATCTGGTCAATCAGCTTTAGCTTTGACTTCATTGCCAGAGTCATCATCAGTGTTATCCATTGCATTGGAGATGTCATATTTTTTTGAATGGATTGACAATGGTTTATACTTTTATGTTCTCCCAAGCCTTTATTCCAAATTCACATAAAACATCTTTGGTGCAGCATGCATAGCTCTCTCTTTTGTATAAGATTTTTCCCCATACACCATCCAATTATTCAACCTTTCTCTTATGCTATCTTTAAATGGTTTATTTGTAGTGACATTTAGTGGCTGCAGTATAAGAGGTCAAAGCACCGGGTATAACAGAAATATCAGTATTAGTTTGTGATAAACAGGCTTTAGTTATGTCTGTTATGTGGCAACGAAACATATGCCAAACCAATAAACTCTGTTTCATATACTACCTGACTGTCTTTCCAAATATTATCAATCCATAATTTCATACCTTACTCCTCTATACATCCCTTTTCATGAAAATTGACAAATACACCTGAAGGGAAATTAATTATAGATTTATTTTTGCACTTAAAAATCACCATTCATCTCAGTTTTATACCATCAGTCATGCACAATAACGTCACTGTAAACCTTGTCTTTTTATGCCCTGTACCTTTAACCAGCACCATTTTTAGTCCTTTAACATCTACTGTTTTGTTAGCTAACTTATTGTTGTAGCATACAATAATGGGTATGTCTCCATTCATATAAATACTTATGTTGGTTTGCAGTTGGAGATTCGTCTCCACCTGTGCTGGTCAAACTCTCTGCCTCCGGACAGAGAGAATCCCCAGACGAGGCACTGTCGAAGGGCAGAGTTTTGTCTTGGGAAACAGCTACCCGACCACGTTTGATATGGGGTCTACGCGGAATTTTTGGCTAAGCCTACGGTTTCAGATACCACACATTAAATTTGGTCTTGTGTCATATCTGACGGGGTGGGGCAGTTGGTAGATATCCTGCTGTTGGAGATTCATTGTGGAATTCACTTGACTCACTTCTAGCAGTTGACTACTTCTTCTACATGCCACTGGCAAGTCTTATATGTGTTGTTCTTGTCCTAAGTATTATCGTTCATTACCAATCTTCATGTGATTATTCTATAAGCTAATGATGAGTGAAATATAATGGAACTGATTTAAGGAAAAAATTATGTAACCACCATTTGTCTCAGTTTTATACCATCAGTCATGCACAATAACGTCACTGTAAACCTTGTCTTTTTATGCCCTGTACCTTTAACCAGCACCGTTTTTACTCCTTTAACATCTACTGTTTTGTTAGCTAACTTAATGTTGTAGCATACCTATAGACGATAATGAGTATGTCCCCATTCACATAAATACAGTAGTAAATACTGTATGTTGGTATGCAGTTGGAGATTCATTGTGGAATTCATTTGACTTCTAACAGTTGGCTACTTCTAGATGCTGCTGGTGAATCTTATATGCATTGTTCATGTAATAAGTATTATCCTTCATTACCAACCTTCGTTTGATTATTCTATTCAGTAACTTTCCCTAGGTTATAACACATATCAAAGTTTAATGGGGTTTCATCCATATTTCCAAAACATGAAAATGGAATCTGATGCCTTTGTCTCAGCTGAATAACAAACTGGTGAAAACATGTAACTTTATGTTCAAGATCTCTTGGGAGTTTTTTGAGCGATTTTCATCTTTTGTCGTATTACAAGATTTGTTTGATTCATAAAATAATTCCACCAGCCTAATGTTGCTTTAAAATCTTTACTTTGTCTTGGTTTGCCTTTCCCCATTTAGAGCATATGCTCCTATTTTATTTCTTGTTACTATGTTCCACTACACATTTTGCAATGTGGGATTTGAATTCTTCTCAAAGAATCTTTCCATTTCTCATTGCACATTTCTGTCTTGGCATTTTTCTTAAAATATCTCCATTTTCCATCAGTCTCCTACGATCTACTTTCTCACATCAACTGTTCTAGCAGCAGCAGTATAATTGTTTGATTCCTTGGCAGTTGCAATAACTTTCAATTTGAAACTTGCTTAATGCATTTTTCATTTAGTAGATAGAAAAACAATTACCATAATCTGCCCTTATGCAGTAGATTCTATTTTCATAAGCAGTAGTTTGTTGATGTAATTTAGGTCATGGTAAATGACTATTAGCATTTCAGGCACATATGTATGATGCGACTTTTTGTTTTGATGTGTATGACCACAACTTTTGTTTTCATTTGTACGCGACTTTTCGTTTTCATGTGTATAACCACAACTTTTGTTTTCATTTGTAGGCGACTTTTTGTTTTCATGTGTATGACCACAACTTTTGTTTTCATTTGTACGTGACTTTTCGTTTTCATGTGTATAACCACAACTTTTGTTTTCATTTGTAGGCGACTTTTTGTTTTGATGTGTATGACCAAAACTTTTGTTTTCATTTGTATGCGACTTTTCATTTTCATGTGTATGACCACAACTTTTGTTTTCATTTGTATGTGACTTTTCGTTTTCATGTGTATGACCACAACTTTTGTTTTCATTTTTGCAACTTTTGTTTTTTGTACCACAACTTTTTTTTTCATTTTTGACTTTTTGTTTTGATGTATATGACCACAACTTTTGTTTTCATTTTTGAAACTTTTGTTTTCATGTGTATGACCATAACTTTTGTTTTCATTTTAGGCGACTTTTTGTTTTGATGTGTATGACCACAACTTTTGTTTTCATTTGTATGACTTTTTCGTTTTCATTTATGACCACAACTTTTGTTTTCATTTGTAGGTGACTTTTCATTTTCATGTGTATGACCACAACTTTTGTTTTCATTTGTATGTGACTTTTCATTTTCATGTGTATGACCACAACTTTTGTTTTCATTTGTATGTGACTTTTCATTTTCATGTGTATGACCACAACTTTTGTTTTTATTTATATGTGACTTTTCATTTTCATGTGTATGACCACAACTTTTGTTTTCATTTGTACAAGTCATAAGAATGAAATCGTTATTGCTATTTTCATAAAGATTCATGCTAATACTTTATATTATTTTATTTCTTTTTGATTTGATAATGATAACAGTAAGCAAAACATCATCTGTAATAACTTCTGCTTTATTTTATACTCATAAAAATCATTATGATATGCCTAATCATTATGATACTGACAGAATTGGCTAGTCTACTGTATGTATTCTTATACTATGTATACCAGATAAAATCACAAAAATTTACCTAGACTTTCAGTCTTGTCTTATCTATAGGTCACCTAATGCATGGAAATATATAGTACATGGAAACAATTACTGATAATATCAGATATTGGTAGAGAAACCAATTACTAAATATGTGCCAACATAATGAGTAAAATAATTTTTGTCTACTTACCAAACAGATGCAGCAATATTGGAAGCTGTAGTTGTGGGTCAACAAAAGATTGATTGCTCATTTTATTGTAGTAATGACATTCAATCTGGTGGTGGTAGGCTATTGTAAGAACCCAAACCACAAACAATGAAATAGATAAATAAAAAATAAAATAAACAAGAACATGTGTGGTGGAAGTGGATTATCTACCTTAGTCATGTACCTAGGGTCATGTGGTATTAGCATAAAAAAATCTTTTCCCATTTTTCGGTTCCCTGAAAAACTGCTGCCCATCATATAAGTTATTTTGCTGCAAACATCAAGCGCTTACAAGCACTCATACACCCACCCACAGATACATTCACACACTTACTGTTTCTAAAAATGTAATTTTTGTGAAAATATATTGTTTTTATTTTAAATTGGAAAAAAAATATTTGTTTATTTAACAAGGTAAAAGTAGTGACCACAACAACTCCAATTAAATTCACTTTTACATTTTTTTTATACTATGGTCCACTCAAAGCAAGGCTTACAAGCCCCTCATAGTAGAAGGTTACTTGAATGTTAGAGGAGGTGGTAGGAAATGAAGATTATCAGGAAAAGGGATAGATAGATAGATAGATAGATAGATAGATAGATAGATAGATAGATAGATAGATAGATAGATTGACTTTTGAATTGAAGAGATTAAGATTGTTGTATTCAGGGAAATATCCACATGGGATTCTATTCCATGAAGTAATAGTTCTCAAGAATAAGTTGTCTGATTGGAACATCTGATTCTTATGAATGGAATAGGGAGGGAACGTTGGTGATTAGATTCTATGGCTGTAGAATGGCAAGTCCTCATTGTTATGTATATAGTTCTACTAAATACATAATTTAATAATTTGTATTTTTCTTTCAAACTTGCTTTACTAATTCTATTTTTTGTTTTTTAGTTTGGTACACTGTCTTAAAGAAATGTCTATTTTCAAACCAGTTCTTCTTGAATGGCTACCTTTGTTTATTCACTTTTTTTATTAGCTAATGTATTTTTGATTTTTATTCCCTTCTTTATTAGCCAATGTCACTTAGGTTTTTATTCACTTTTTTATTAGCCAATGTTTTTTCAATTTTTATTCATTTCTTTCTTTATTAGCAAATGACTTTTAGGTTTTCATTCATTTCTTTATTAACCAATGACTTTTAGGTTTTCATTCATTTCTTTATTAGCCAATGACGTTTAGGTTTTAATATTTACTTTTATTATTAGTCTATGTCTTTTCAATTTTTATTCACTTTTTTATTAGCCAATGTTTTTTTCAGTTTTTATTTGTTTTTATTAGCCAATGTCTTTTATGCAATTAAACAAAACCTTGGAGAAGTGAGATTTTCATACGTTTGAAGATTTAAGAGTAATGATCTATTCGTTTACCATAAACTTCAATCTATTCAAGTCAATTAAACTTGACACAAGCATAAAATTTCTGTTTTTTTTTACTGGAATTATTCAGTACATTGAATCCCTCCCCTCATATCTGGCTCATGCAGGAATACATAAAGAGATAAGCAAACAATTTTCTCTTAATTTTCCATTAGTTTCACTTTAGTTAACTTATGACTTTTGCTGAAAAATAAGTTATTTTAGTATTTAATAGACAGGGGATAACAGGTCAGTATTCTTTCCCTGTATTGTTCTTCATATTATTTGCACTGATAGAAATAAGTTTTATATACAATAACATTTCAGATGTCATCATAGCCTAACAATACACCTTTTTATACAAAGTTTTGCTAAACAGATTTGAATGTGTAGAACTTTTAAGAAATCATGGAAGCAGCTTCCAAAAGTCTAGTTTTGATTTGATACTTGTGTTTTCTTTCTACTTTCAGATCACAGTGAGCAAGAAGGTGTTGAATTGCCAGGAGGCAGACAACTTCAGGACACAGCACTTTGTCACACTTATCATGAGACTGACTGTGACCTTGGAGTAGTAAACTTTTAAATTCTCACCAGATGTCTGCTAATACCTTATCACTACTGCTATTGTAAAATACTGCAGTTTATTCATAAGTTTTTTTTTATTTAGCAATCAGTTCATTTTATTAAGAGGACTGTAAAAAAATAAACAAATGGTTAGTGAAGCTTTATCCATTTCAATTTGACTACTTACCATAAATAAGATTTGACTATTCCTTTTATAGTCAAGTAGTACAAAGGGGAGACAACTGTAGTTAGGAAAAAAGAAAAAAATAGATTTTTCATATTTATAACATTGGATCTTGATCTTCAAAACTTATCATCAAAACATCTGTACTGATTCAAACTTTGTAAATGGTTTATGAATTATATAAATTACTTTTTAAAATATCAAGTTTTAAACCTTATATCTATGATGGATTAGCATAAAATATAACTTAAAGCCTGAATTTTCAAGATGACAAATTATCATTATTATACACTGATTTATGCAAACTAGTATCTTCATCTTGATTGTTATTATCATGATCTTTCTGTTGATATATCCTTCAGCCTTCTTTAAATGCCTGATGTACTTGGTAACTTTCAGGGGATTTTGTGCTGAACTCTTCATTCAATAAACAGGTATTGTTCTCGGTCCACCATCCATGCTGGAGGACATCTGGTGAAGTTATGCTTGGTATATAATCTGTCTCTATTACCAAACATTTAGTACTACCTGACTCAGGGATTGAACTCACAACTTACATATTTTAATATGGTAGCCATGTATGATGATGCAATTCTGCATGTTACAAGCTGTGATGTAATCCAAAGTTGACTATATGTGAATACACTAGGTTCTCTATGTTCCACAGGGTTATTTCAATATTAGGGCCAGAATTGACATCAACAAAGAATAACCATAGATGCTTATCAAGACACTGGTTGGAAGTAGTAAAAAAAAATATGATTTCTCACTTAATCAGCAATGTCTTCATTCTGCTTTGAGAAAGTGAACTTCTGATATCTTACTAACTTCCGACCACAGAAAAAGAACCCCTGACTGCTGGCTGTTTCACTGACTGCCAGTCCTTTCACTGACAACTCATTATATGGATACTCCTCTTTCCATCCACTTGTTTTTCACCAACCAGAAAGGGGAACCACTCAGACAGCTTTTTGGTGGTCATTTTTTTCAAAGGACTCTACTTTTACGGCCATCTAAAATCACTAACAAAATTTTATGTTTGCCAATTGAAAGGCAAACTGGAGATAGGATTCCTGAAAAAAACCTGGTCATTAAATTGACTTAAAAAGAAAAAGAATCTATCTCTTCATCTCTTAAGGATGTGTGAGAAATCGTATTGCTACATATGTGAAGAAGATTTTATTGTCATATTGTGATAAAGTAGTTCTGTTCTAATCCAAAAATTTTTAAAACTCAAATAAAACAACGAAGGTACTTTTCAAATTCAGAAAAAAAATAATTTTTTTTTTCATTTTTTGAAGACAACATTTGTTTTTGTTTTTATCTTTTAAAAAACTGTTTTCATAGAAATTGAATATCTAGTGAAGTAAAAGTACAATTGTGATCAAAAGCACTGATATAAGCTGGCAAAATTATTTATTTGTAAAACTTTAAAAGCACAGTTTAAAAAGAAAAAATCTGTGTCATCATCCCTGTAATTCAATAATGATTTCAAATTGAAAAATGGGCACAACTTAAATAGACTGGTTCACTTGTAAAAAATACTTCACTTAAGTGTTTGGAAAGTAATTACATATTTCACTACTATGAATTATGAGTCAACCAGCCAAGGAAGAATAATGGTAGAATGGTAGTTTAACATCTCTTCTATTTAACAGTGTGTCATATATAATGTATTTCAAGGATTAATTGAGAAAACTTGCAAAGAGGATCTTAGTGTTTCTCATGATTTTTTGCCTTGAGAACCAAACACAACATTGCAACATCTGCAGCTGTTCTGTAACCAGAAATGCCAGCCTTTCATTTTTGCATCACATTATTATAGATGATGAAAAATGGGTTTTGCATTTCAACAGAAAATAAGAAAGACAGCGGTTATCAGAAAATGAGAAACCAGTGTGAATATGCAAATCCAGGACTCTATCCACAGAATTCTTTGTTTTGTGTCTGGTGGAATATGAAAAATGTTGTCTATGATGAGCTACTGGACCTTGGAAGGACCATCATTGCAGACATTTATTGCCTGCAACTTGATTGGGTAAACAAAGCATTATGTCAACCAAACACATTCCACCATCTGCAACACTTGTTTAACCAGAAATATCAATCTTTCATTTTTACATTGCATTGTTACAGATGATGAAAAATGGGTTTTGCATTTCAACAAAAAGCAAAATAGACACTGTTTATCAGAAAATGAGAAACCAGTGCCAACACCAAAACTAGAACTCTACCCACAGAATTCTTTGCTTTGAGTCTTATGGAATATGAAAAGTGTTGTCTATGATGAGCTAATGGATCATGGAAGGAACATCATTGCAGATGTTTATTGCCTGCAACTTGATTGAGTAAACAAAGCATTATGTCAAAAATTTGCAGCTTTGGTAAACAGAAAATATATTATTCTCCAGCATGATAATTGAACAACCCAAGATCATTAAGAATGGAGGGGGAACTTTGACATGGTGTAATGGTTAACAAGCTTGTTTTGCTAGATCAGTTATGACTGAATAGTGAGTTTGATTCTCACTGGGTACCCCATACTTTTGACCTTGTGCTTAGAAAATCACCAGGTTTAGAACTTTCATTTTTTTGATCACTAGAATTTTTCATAAGTGGCAGACATTTAGAAACAAAGATAAAGCTGAAAATAGTCTTTCAAATATTTTTGAGATTGCGGGGGGGGGGGACCCAGATGGGATAGAAACCATAAATTATATCTTTGACTACATGTTGTATGTGCTAGGATAGCCTCCATGCTAAAAACTAGATGATCTTTAGCCTTTGTACCCACAAAAAAAAGGTGTGTCAAAATGATGGTTTTTCACTTTATACCACTAATATTTTAATTACCATCCCTCCTTGATAATGTGTATTTTTTTTAAAAAGCAATGATTAGAATTGTAATAAAACTTAAGCGTATGATGAAAGTAAATTTAATAAGTTTTTCTTGAGAATTTACAACAAAAATATTAAACACTATTTATTTATTTATTTAAACTCTATAAAATGGTAAATAAGTATTTCTTTATAGTTGGTTCACATATTTTAATAATTTAGTAAATGTTTATAAATTTATGAATAAAAAATTGTTTTCATATTTATTTCTTTATGAATTAGTAAATGAAAAATACTGCATTGCATTAGTTGTAGTTGTATTAGTTTTTAGAATGTTGTAAATATAAAATTATTCTTGTAAATAAACGATCTAATAAATAGTATTTAATATTTTTACTGTAAATTCTCAAGAACAAAAAAAATGTATAAATTCACTTTTATCATATGTTTAGGCTTTATTACAATTCTAATCATTGCTTTTTAAAGCAATGAACATTGCTGATGAGTAAAGTAGTTAAAATAATAACAGTGTAAAGGGAAAAACCATCCTTTTGTGATCGCAAAAGTTAAAGATTACCAAGAACTGACATTTTTGCCACATAGGTGGAAGGAGGACACAAATAAGTACCATCTCTTATCTTGATTCTACAATATGACATATACAATTAGTTCATAGTCATAATAGGTTATTTGTTGTTGGTAATTTGAGAGATTGTCACTACCCTTTAGTGCACTTTAATGATAACTCACATTTTAGTAAGTTTTTGTAAAATGCTATAACCCTTTGTAATGTAAAGCAATTATGGTCTTTATAGTTTCCTTTCAACTTTGGAAGAGATAGTTTAGTTATTTCCCGTTGCTTTCTCTAGACTTGTGAATTCAGTGATGTCTTTCTCCTAGATTGGCTGCCACCCAAGGCCCAATCTGACCTGCTATCAAACTCACAGCAACAGACTAGGCCAGAATTTGAACTTAGCTTGATGATTTCACTTTCTATGCTGATAACTCTTATTCTACCCACACATGTTTTTAACAAGTAGCATTCACATTCAGATAACAGGAAAATAACTGACACCAAATTATCAGAGTGGAAGTTCATATATAGAGGGTGTGGAAGTTCTTAGCCTGATCATGAAGCCCTTCCCCACAAGATTAGTCATGTGGTCAGATTTTGAGGAGTGAGTCAGACTGAGAAATTTTCAGCTCCCTTGTAAAGATTATCATGCCCTTTTTGCTGCAACATCATAAAATGTCAATTGTTCAAACTTGGAGCTTTTGTCTTTCAATATAAAACACTCATCTCTTTCAACTGTTCATGACAACTTATATACTATAGCAATAACTGCTAATGCTTGCAAAGTTTACTTGTACTTGCAAGAGTAGTTTGATGGTGGTTCCATGGTGATGGTTTGGGATTGCCAGTTGAATCATTAACAGATGAGCTCTACTTAATTAGACTGGTTCACTTGTTATAAATAGGGGAAAATATTTTTGGAAATAATATTTCTAGATTAACATACATTAGAACTTCCTCAAGGTGTATCATTTATCAGAAGTAAAATATACTAATTTTTTTATCATTTTAGAATCGGTCCTATTCATAATATCAATATGGTGTAAAATTGATCTTGAAATGCAAAACCTTTTTTCAGTTATTGATTTTGCTGTTCTACAGACTAATCTGTTTGCTTTTTAGAAAAAAGATTTCTTTTAAATAAAGAACAAACATATATATATATATATATATATATATATATATATATATACAGTATGTACTTGAGTATCATGTGACTTTTGAAGACATAATTTTTAAGCTAATTTTAAGGGGGTCACATCATACATGAGATATAAAATTAGTGTATGTACTACTGGCCCTGACTATGTCATTGACCAAACTATATAGCCATTTACTGTTGTCAAAAAAGTACAGCTGTATTTAAAATAAACATGATTTTGATAAAATTGATGTTTTACTTAACTGTATCCAATAATAATGCATATAATATTCACATATTAGTATTGTATTATCAAAGACAAACATAGTGAATATGAATCTTTTCCATTGTTTACGTTTATAAGATGTTTAGCTGTTTCTTGTTCGGTTGTTTATAGCTGTACAGATTTAAGCAACGAGTATAGGATTAATAACGGTACTTTTATCATACACTTTTAATTTCTCTACTTATTTAACTAGAAGATGGGATAAAGAGATAGAGAAAAAGAGGGTAGTCTATTGTAATTTGGTCTCTCAGAAAAGGAATTTCCATAATACATGATAAAATCATTTTTTATAAGTGAATTGGGGTTGCACAATACACAAGATCACGCATTACACAAATATATATGATATCCATATTTAATTAAAGAACAAAATCTTATATCAATTGATTGATTGATTTGTTTTTTATGGCTTATCAACCCTTTGCAGGATATTTAAAGATTTTGTGATACATGTCTTACTAATTAACTCATAGTGGGAGGAGAAGAGGTGGGTTCATATTTTTCCCAAGGGTATTTGCATCTAAGTGAATATAACAAACCCAATGGGAATTCGAACTCCACTCTCTGCTTAACAATTACAAGCCATTATTCATTACACCACCCGTACATCCAAGCTTACAGCACCTGGTATTCCCAAGTGGTCAACCATCTAGGTACGGGCCAGGCTCAACGTTGTTTAACTTCAGTGATCATATGAGATGTTGCCATATGCCTACATAAGTTAATAAAAGTACAAATAATTATTAACCACCAATGTTGGGACACATGCTTCTGAAAAAATCCCACCAGCACCAAATTAAAAAAAAAAAACAATGCAGATATCAATGATATAAGCACAATTTGAAAGTGGGTATTTTTAAATAACAAATTAAGTTCAGATAACTCTGTAAAAAGTCAGGGATTGATGTGTGACTGTATTTATATTATAGAAAGGACTCTCCCTTCTAAATTGATAAAAAAAAGGTCAGTATTTTTTCTATTCTAACAAATGTCATGGCTTGAGGAAGGTCTAATGAATGCTAAGCTATCAAAATTATTCCCCTCACCCATCAAGTTTTTCCCTATTTTTATGACTGGACCAGTCTAATTAAGTATGGTGGACTGTTATTGGTTATCACTTGAAAGCTCTTTTTGATGCACCTGACACTTTCACCAAATGGTTCACATTTCACTAACCTGTTTTTTGCACCCTACTGTCTCTAATGTACAAGCAAAATAGAAACAAATAGGGGCAACTGTACTTAGAATGAGAAAGACACAGTTGAAATTTCAAGGGGGCATAATGAGGAAAGAAGGGTTGGAGAATTTGACACACACAGGAAGGTAAGACAGTCAGAGGGAAGCAGTGAGTAACCTACCTAATGAGCTGATGTAAATGGATCCAAGAACAGGGACTGGGATTGATTGATTTACTTTTTTATGGTTTATCAACACTTTGTGGGTCATTTAGAGCTGAAATATATTTTGGGTTGTAAGAATAATTATTTTTTTCTGAGTGAATATTGTATTAACAATGATTGTTTCAGATATACAAGTCTTACTATTTAACCTGTAGATGGGGAGGAGATGGTATTTGACCATAAATGAATGGAACAAAACCCTACTTGATTTCAAACTTGGCTCTCCAATTTCCCATTCTGTGCCACTATCCATTACGCTACTTGCAACTCCCAGAGACTGGGAAAAACTGTAAAGGGGCAAACATTGCTTAGAACTCTAAAGGATAGGAAATTGTGGAGAGCCATGATCTTTCTCCTGTAATGTACATGACTTAATGAGAATACAAGATTAAAATTCTCATTTGTAAAATTATTGTTTATTCAACCCTGAACTTTGTCACAATTTAGTGGGTGTATAGCTTTGTGTTTTCTCATTGGTTCTTCTCATGACACTCTTCTTTTCCCCTCTCAGGTGGGTTCTTATATATCTACTTGACATCTTGTTTGTATCACGTGTGCACATCTCAAGTTCACATGTAGGTGACAGATACTAATTTATAGTGAAGGTGCAGATCTGCACTTTGCATCTAGGTGATCATCTCTCAAGTCAACCTGCTGATGCACCTGGTTTCTCTGATGGACAATGTGTAAAGTTTATTTTGGCATCAATTGAGGTGAGTCACATATTACACACATTCTGAAGAGATGCTATATTTAAAAAAAGAATGAGAAATTTGTTGCTTCAAATTCTTTTTTTTTTCCTTAGAAAATGATTTAAGAGCAAGTAGGTACTTCACCTGATTCAGTCATTAGCATGTAGAGGGTTCCATCATTACTGAGGGCTCCAGTAATATTCAAACTCAATTCTGACTGATAACTTGTAAAAAGGATAAGATTTTCTATCTCTAAGAAAAGTGTTCAGTATTTGTCAAGGATATAAAATAATTATATGATTATTGTGTCTGGTTAAAACCCTTTATTATGCAGAAATATAACTTTAAGCAGACAAAACATACTGAGATTTTAAAGTTATTTGCATTAATTTTATGTTGGAATACATAATGAATGTTTTTGCAGTAGATTTAGCTTAACATTTATTGCTTTGGGGACATGAATTTTAAAATCATTATATTAATGTATTTTTCATACAATAGAGAGAAAGAAAAACAAAGACATTTCAAGTTTATAAGAAAATATTTTTTATTGAGCACCCATTATACAATAAAATACATAAAGCACATTTCATCTTGGTTTTCTCTTTTATAACAACAAAGCAACATTTTCAAGTTATATATATATATATATATATATATATATATATATATATATATATATTTTGTGTGTGTGTAATATATATGTATGTGTGTGTGTGTGTGTATATATATATATATATACATACATACATACACACAAATGGTGGTGAAAAGTCCTCAGACTGACTAAGCTCTTCTTTTCAAAAAATCTTGATGTTGATTAATCATTTGGTCAGATCTTAGAAAGTAGACTGAAATGAAAACTTTTCAGCACCTCATAAATATATATATATATATTTATATATATATATATATATATATATATATATATATATATATATATAACACACACATATATATATATACACACACACACACACACACACACATATATATATATATATATATATACACACACTCACATTTGTGCAAATATATATATATATATATATATATATATATATAAACCTATATATATATATATATAGGTTGCACCAAATGTGTGGGTATATATGCAGAATTTTTGAAAGATATTTTGAATAATTTTTAATGCATTAATATTTCACACATGCGTATGTGAGTACATATATATGTATATTTAGGATAAAAAAACTGGTTAGTGTTTGAGGTTTCGATGCACTGACTGGGGCGGGGGGATTAGTGGGTAGAAATACTTAAGGCCAGTCATTAGCTCGAACTTTTGTAGATTTTTATGCTTGAGTATTACCAAATTAACACAATTCAACAGACTGCAGTAAATTTGAAGAAAGTCTGATCTGATACCACAGGAGGAATTACATGAGCCAATGTTTATATCAACAGATTAAAGAACTGACATTTTTTATCCACAAAGAGCCGTATTATCTTCATATTTGTTGTTCTTAAAAAGACATTTTTGTCGATATATTCTTTGACCATCGCATCCAGTTTTTACAACCTTAGCACATTTTTTCTTCTTAATTAGAACACCATAGTCCAAAACCTCACTTTCCAGCCCTGTCTTATTTCCCATCCTACAGCCCCTTTCCCCACAGACACAATGTTGCAAGCCTATCGCTATTCCATCGCTACTTCCATAAATGTACAAATGAGCTCCACTCTTTTGTGCCACCGGTTCAGACCTTGCTAAGTCCACATTGTTGAATCATCCTCGTCTCACATTATGTATTCAATTCGTAAGAACGATGTTACATTCAGAAAACGTCTTCCCAAGAACCACAACTTTGTAGAACAAACTCCCGAGTTGATGCTTTCCTGAGGACTAGAATCTTAATCTCTTCAAGTCAAAGGTCAGTCTTTTATCTATAAACCATATCCTCATAATCTTCACTTCGTATTTCCTCCTCTTGCATTCATATGACACGTCTCATTCAGTAACCCTCTACTTTGAGTGGCTCTTGGGTCATGCATTGGTTGAACATAAGTAAAACAAAATACAGTACATCAGAATTACTAAAAAAGGCTTTATCTGATGTTAGTTGAAGCGTAACATCATAATGATGAAAATATTGATGTTCTATATACCGGAGGTGGCGAAACTTATCTAATGCATAAGCCACAGTCGATAAACTTTTGGGGTTAAGAGCTACAATTATACATAGAATCAGAAAGAGACAGTTAAAATTCCTGAAACAATAATGAGGAAAGATGGCTTGGAGAATTTGGCACTCACATGACATGTTGATGGCAAGCGGGACAGAGGGAACCTACCTAACGGGTTTGTGTAAATGGATAAATGGTCTGTAACCCCTGCTGACCTGAAATTTGTTTATCTCCCAGGAATCCATCCCTCAGCGGTGAAAAACAATTCTTCCCTCAAATCTTGCATTTAAGATTAAGATTTAAATTCTTAAACATTAAACTCGCGGATTAGCCATTTCTGCTATATATAAATTATAATTTCTAAAAGGTTTGTTTCTGGGATCACCGGTAATGGAGTTATTTATTCAGCCTTAAGAATAAGAGTACTAAAAGCATATATTTGGGGTTAGATGTGCGGATATTTATTCTATAGCTCCGCCATGAGGACATGCAAACATTTTGAAATCATGTGAATAAAATGTCATTTCAAATAAACACAACAGTAATTTTTCTTTGTAAGGTATCTTGATGGCTTGCACAGGGAGAAGCAAGACACACGGATTTTATACTTAAACGTTGAGTCTATTCATCCCTTTTTCCTTAAGAGAAGAATAGTTTGTAGTCTACACCGCTGAGTCATAAGTAGTGACGGCAAATGTTTGAATTAATTCACATAGAAAAGAAACGAAAATAATTATCCAACAATACGTATAAATTGAAGATCAGTTAGAAACGGAAGAAAAACTTCAGTTATATCGTATAGAAATTTGTCAAAAAGATCCAAAGAGTCTGCAGTCAGTGATACTGAGGCCGCCTTTCATAGTGAAACCTTCTTACACAGGTCATCTCTTCATAGAAACAAAATCAGACGAAAGATTGCGTATATAAAATCCCATACAGTTGTAGAATTAAGAGAAAAAAACATTCGTCCCTTAAACATCAGTCTAAAGTCGTTATCCAAGAGGAACCAATCAAACAGTGCTTCACAGATCTGGGCCTGTCGCCTATTTTTTTTTTTTTTTTTTTTTTTTGAGTGGTTGGTGTGGGTCTTTTTTTTATTAGGGAGGGGGGATTTGCACGCTAAAATTGGTTTACATCATTTTCACAGTGATTTTCTTTAGCGATATAGAGCATGTATAAAAAGGGAGAAGATTGTACTACCTCCTCTAGAATGACTTAAATAACAAACACGACGTGAAAAAGTTTTCTTTTTAAATCATTTCACCTCAAGCAAGGCAATAAAGCCACTAAGATGCAGAGGGTTACTGAGTATGAAAGGATATATGAAAAAAATCAAAAACAGTATTAAGGAGCAAGAACAATAAGAGAACAGGGATTAAGACGACATAAGATAACAGTTAACATTGGATTTAAATTTTTGAAGATCAAACTTAACTGGAACGTAAGAAATCAGTGAGTTCCACAAGC